AGGGCACAGCTCTGGAGGGAGCTCCTAATGCCCTGGGCCTGCATCTGCGCAAGACCCCCAACATGGCTCAAGTCACTCGTCCCCAGCTTCCCCTAGCTGCACCATCACAGCTCTGTCTTCTGCTCAGACAGCCCAGCCCGTCTAGCCACAGCTACTTCCCAACTCCGGCAGCCTCGCCCTGGGCCATGGCTGAACCTCGTGCTGCCTTTGCCCATGACCACAGGGAGTCAACTGTCGGTGCTCACTGGCAATCATCCATTTGTTCCAAGGGTGAGAGACCAAAATAGACCTCCTCTTGGTCCTGCCCACAAATAGGGCCTACTGCCAAGTTCCTCAGATGGAAGCTCATGGGGCAACCACCTCGTCTAACTCTGGGACACAGGGTGGCACAGGATGGAGTAAGGAATCAGTCCTCAGGAGGGATGAGAGGCGGGTCCCAGCTCTAGGAAAACATACATTTCTATGTGCTAAAAGCATCTTAGTGAGACATGTTCAGATACAGACAACAAGAGAGAAAGACAGTTCCCACAGCCACAGAGGCCGAGTGGCCATGCCAGCACCGAGCCCCGGCATTAAAAGGGTAAAGCTTTTAGGCGAGCAGCGGCCAGTGATCTCAGCTTCCCCCAGTCCTAATGCTCCTGAAAGGCTCTCTCCTACTCCCTGTAATTGGGCATCAGTAGTTAATGCAGTATTGACTGCATTACACGCTCCCGTGCCTCCCCTCACTAATGCCAATTGCATCACCTTGTACAGTCACCGGCTTGCTTAGCCAATAGCCGTTAAAAGCAATCCAAATCATGAATCATATGGGAAACTTTTAGCAAGACACCGCCATCCAAGGAGACAATTTACAGTTGAGTTAATCTGGGTACATTAGCAAGACATGGATTCTGGACGACAGACCAATTTATGTTGTTTCCCTGTCCCCCCTTAGTGCTGCTCTGTGTGAGCAAATGAATGGAAGAGCAGGGCACAGAGAGAAGCACCTGCTTCTTCACCCAAGGCTCGGGTGTGTGTGTGTTGTGGGGCGGGGGGGGGGGGTTACCATCTTTACAGATGCTCTGCCTGGCTGAGTTTGGGCAGGAAGGGGAAGCAGCTGTATGTGCCACTCAAGATGTGATGCCTCATTCCCAGCAGAAAGGAGAGCTGCCACTGGAGCTGGTTATGGTAGATGCAGATGGTAGTCCTCCCACTTCCCTGTAGGCACTGGACATGTGCACGATTTGGTCCCCACTCTGCCAGCCTCACAGGCCTTTACCAGGCCTCAGCAGGCAGCAGTGTCTACTTGGCTCTGCCTACCTGCTGATGGGCTGGGGTCTCTGGCATGGAACAGCATCAGGGCCTGCCTCCCTCTCCAGGGTTGGAATGTGGCCACACTCTGCCCGGAGAGGCCCCCAGGACTCTCTGCGGTCTAGAACATGAGAGTCTATCCTAGGAAGTCCTACTGGTGGCCCAGCAAGGGCTGGTTGGTACCCAGGCATAGTCATGTGCCTGCTCTTGTGGATCAACTGAGTCAGCTGTGGAGGCTGTGCTCCTGGCAGTCATTAACAATTGAAGACTTCACTGTCTGTTCCTCCTCAGTCCAGTTTTACTCTCTTGGGCATTTTTACTTATTAAAAATGCTCTAGGAATCATGTCTGGTGTTTAGTTTCACAAGCCACCTGCTGCTTCCTGTGGTCACCCCTGCCTTCCTGCTGGGCCTTTGCAAAGGCCATTTATACCCAGCCCTGCCCTTCTCCAGTGCGCACCTGAGAGCATCTTCTCCTGCCCAGCATCCTCTCCTGCCCAGGCCCCCACAGACCAGAGCTCTCGCTGTTCTTGGGCCCTGTCAGATTCTCTGCTGTCTGCTCCTACTCAAAAGCCTCTTCTACAACAGCCCAGGGGCTCATTTGAGTTGGGCAGGGTTCAGAGCTGTAGTCTCTTTGCTCCCCTGGGACTTTAACCCTCCCAAAGAGCCCACTGTGTGGTGCCAGCCCAAGCCGCAGGTGCCAGGGGAAGAAGGGCTGTTTCTCCAGGAAAGTTGGAGCTCAGCTGCCTTTCGCTGACAGGCAGACCCAGCAGTATTTAGAAAGCCTGGACCCAGAGTTCCAGTAAAGTGGAGATGGCTAGGCCAAGAGCAAGCATCCAAATGAAAGCAATTAATCTTAAAACCCGAAGTTTAACCGTTTGCAAAACAGATCTTTCTGTCTCTGTGGTGACCCTTCACTGCTCGACCTAATGGATTACTTTATTAATAATGCACTGTGCTTAAAAGCAAAAAAAAAAAAAAAATCATTTTTTTCTGACGATTCAATACTTCAGAAAGTCTCTTAAACCCGTTGCTACGGCAAAACGATTGATATTTTATTATCTTTCAGAAGTGCAACATGAAAGCCCTGCAGCCCAGCAGAGCGGGAGCTTTGGTCCTCGGCAGCTGGCAGACCCGACTTCAACCAGAGGAGCCCCAGCCTCTCCCGACAAGATGCTGTCAGGTGGAGAAAAGGCATTGGGGGTGGTTAATAGCAGCTTGAGTCCCCGCTGCAGCCAGACAAAAGGTGCCGTATGCAGGGAACGCACCCTTTGGGGACCTGGGGGTGGGGGAAATGCTGCCACCCAGTTCAGATAACCACCCGCTGGGAGGTCAGAAGTGTTCAGGAAGAAGTTGGGTGGTTGGTTTGGAGCAGCAGATGAGTGGATCCAGAACCTTTCTCCCTCCCCCAATTGAAGGTGCTATCCTCAAGGTTTCCTGGAACTAGTGGAGGCCAGACTCTCTTAATGGGGAGTGGAGTGTAGATGCATGAGCAGAAAGGTTGCTTTTGAAGAACAGCTATAGGCTGAGCAGAACAAGAATAGTGGCTGCTCAGGACCCCAGTGGCTGTGCTTGTGCTGTAATGGACCCCAGAGCCCAGAAGCTCCATGGTAGTGGGCACCATATTGTTTAGATTGGACAGGGTGGGGACGGAGGGGCTTCTGGAGCTCTCTTCCACAGCTCTAGCAGAAACAGAAGAAACATGCCCAGAGTGCTTGAGGGGCAATTTGGAGGCAGGGAGCTGGTTAAAATGACCTCCCACTCAAGGCTCATCTGAAACCCTTTGTATTATCTCAGAGCCAGAGGCATTATGAGGTGCCTGGACAGAGCAAGATCCTGGGTGCAGGTGGCAGGTGTCATCTTGTTGGGATGAGACTAATCTCCCTGGCCTGAGGTGTCCCATGTACAGAGCCAAGTCTTCTGGATTCCTGCTAAAGCATGCCAAATAACCTCTGCTAAAGATGAACCCTGCATGCTCCCCATAGTGACAGTATCCCCAGGTACCAAGGAAGGACCCTCTTCACTGGCTTATCTCCAAGTCCTTCATTTTTGCTAAGAAGGAAAGTGAAGCATGACTGTTCCAAAGTAACATGGGGAGTTAGTGATGAAAGGCACTAAATCAAGGCCTCCTCCCTCCCTGTCTGGCCTGACCCCAGACCCCTTCTTCTCCTTTTCATTCTATATGAAGTTCTCTGATGGCACATATGGGGCTCTAGGGGAGGGGTCCGTGAATAGAGAAGACATACTGAAGATGGATGTCCCACTGCAGCTAGCCCAGAAGCAATGATGTTTCCCCATTCTCTCTCTTCCTATGCATACTGTGAGCCACAGGGCTTCCCAGATGCCATCCCAGGGCCAACACTTCAAATTCCCCCTCACTGCTGGATGTCTCAGACGGCAGTACTGGAGACATCAGCACAAGGCAGCAGCAATGCGAACATCCTGTGTGACCCTGAGCAAGTCACTTAACTTTGCATTTTCACCAACTGGCCACGTCAATAACAACGCTGTCCCCCGGGGCAGAGGGCACGGGCCCAGCAGAGACTCCTGAGTGGAAGGTCAGAGGATGGCCACTGCAGTCACTTTAAGAGGATTCCCGACTCGAAGCAAACCTACCCTTTCAGTACCTCACCAATGGCAGAACGCAGGCAGCTGCGTGGGCGCCAAGAATCACATACAAATGTCCCTACAACACCAATACACAGGCCTCACCTACAGGGCAGGAGGTCCTCCTGCCAGCCAGGGGACTGCCTCTCTCCTGACCCTGGGGACTCATCTTAGGGCACCCACGTGGCTTTTTCCCCAAGGGGGCTGGGATCCCCAACCTTCTAAGACACTTAACTGCAGGGCACTCCCTGCCGGGAAGGCTTTGGGGTCTATGGGGCCACCTGCTAGTGGCTTCCAGCAGCCATGGGCTCCTCTGTTTTGACCTTTCCCGTGCCCTGCAGTTTGTTAGGGTGCGTTGAGACTCAACAACGGAAGGTCCATGCCACTCTCGCAGGCCGCTCCCGCACGAATACTACTGGCCGGCGGCGGGACACTTTCTTCCTCTGGGCCAAACTCCAGCCTCCGCGCTCACAGAGACGGAGATAGCTGGCCAGCACAAGAGGCGGCTCTTTCTCTCGGAGTCACGCTCCTGGACAGCTGTCCTCCTGAGGGTCCAACCTGCCTTCCCCTCGCCTGCGGGGCACCCCTGCGCTCACGCAGTCCTCCCGCGCTCCCGCTTGCCAGGAGCTCTGGAGTCCTGTTCTGCCCGAAGCCGCTGATTTGCTGGGAGCTCAGCGCCTCTCAGGTTACGCGGCGGCGGGAGCGAGGGTGATGGCTGCGGTGAAAGCAGCAGCCGCAGAGACGAAAGGTTCACAGCAAACCTCCGCGGCGCGGAGATCACAGGGGAGCCGGAGCCTCCACGCGACCCCGCGGCGCAGCACACGGCCCGCGTCCAGCTCCTCGGCTCGCGGCCGGGGTCCGGGCGGGGGTTGCGTGGAGGCCCCGGGCACATGCAGCCCGGGGCTCGCCCACCGCCTCCCCCGGCAAGTCCCGCTTGGTCGTCCCCAGTGCTTCCCCCTGCCCCAGCCCTGGCCCCACGAGCACCGCCCGCCCCGCAATCCCCGCATAGCCCGGCGTGTGTTCGCCCGTGTCCCCGCGTGTGTGCCTGCGCGCCGCAGCGGGGGGCTAGGGTTGGGGGGCGACGAGACCCCGGCCCGCCACCTACCGTCCTCCTTGTCCAGCACCATCATCTCGGGCGCTCCGTGTCCAGCCGCAGCTCGGCTCGGCCGGGAGAAGGGCGCCGACTCGGGGCGCGCTTCGGCGGGGCGGCCGGTCCTCGGGCTGGGAGCGGGCTCTAATTACCCGCTTGTCCGGCTCTTAACCTAGATTGCACTCAGCTAGAATTACATTCAGGAGTGAAGCACTTCGCAGATACAAAAGCAGTCTCACCTACTTTTGTGCCTCAGAATTGCAAGGAACTACGAACTGCAATTTAGAGAGAGAGAGGAGAGGGAGAGAGAAGGGGGAAAAGAGGATCAGAGCCGTTTCTTTGATTCTCACCTTCTAAATGGCTCAATTTGCCCAGTATAATCTGTCTTAATGTAATTGCATTTGATAGCTCATAACCCTGGTTCTGGCAACGACACAGCTTTCAGCCTCATAAAGTGTTTTCCTCTCGGATTTAATCTGAATCTCAATCTAAAATTATATTCAAAGAGATGGGGGAATCTCGCGGCCGTCTCCCGCTGCCTTTCTCCCTCAATGTATGAGGTTTGCACTCCTGCTACTGAATAAATGCACACATTTCCCGAGGCCCCCTCCCTCCCGGGTTAATGGGGAGTGGAGACGCAAGGATGCCGGCTCCGCAGCGCCACCTGGAGGCCTCTAGGTCCCAGCTCGGAGAGGGCCTTTGCTCCGATCCCAGGGTCGTGGTCTGCAACGTGTCTGGAGGACGAACCCCATCTGTTACTCCCAGGTCCTCAGCCTTGATTTCTGTCTCCTCTTCAGAGCAATATTTCTCTGATCGCATCCTTTCCCTTCCTACCAGCTCTGTCTGGGGTTTCTTACTGCTTCCCGAATTGTTGGGCAAAATTAACCCTCTTCAGGGCACAAACACTCCTACCCTGAGTCTTGCAGCACTTCTCCTGACCCCAGCCGCCCCCTTAAGAGCATCCTGACTCCATGGAGTGGGAGTTATCTCAGTTTCTCTCTAAGCAGGCCCAGGCATGGCCTTCAAAGCTTTTCTCATTCTACAAATATTTACTGAGCATATATTATGTGCCAAGCACAGTTCTAAGACACTGGGGACACAGCACTGAACAAAACAAAGATTCCTGCTGCAATTATGTAGTTGATCATTCTTGCTCTGTAACTCATAAGGCAGGAAAAGAGACAGTATTCATCTCTTCTCCTGGACTGTGCTTCTCTCTAGAACCCTGGGGCTGATGCCCTGGCTGCCTACCCTAGGAAGGCCACCTACTCTTCAATCCCAAGCCTTTTTTCTTTCCCTAGACAAGTACAGAGTTCCAGGGTGGGATAGAAATAATGATCTTTCAGCCAGGTGCAGTGGCTCACACCTGTAATCCCAGCACATTGGGAGGCTGAGGCGGATCACCGGAAGTCAGGAGTTCAAGACCAGCCTGGCCAACATGGTGAAACCCCATCTCTACTGAAAATACAAAAATTAGCCAGGTATGGTGCCTTGCGCCTGTAATCCCAGCTACTGGGGAGGCTTAGGCAGGAGAATCGCTGGAACCTGGGAAGTGGGGGCTACAATGAGCTGAGATCCTGCCACTACACTCCAGTTTGGGTTACAGAACAAGACTCTGTTTCAAAAGATAAAATAAAATAGAAATAATCTTTCTCCAGCCCAAGGAGGGCTCCAGACAGATGTGTTGGAAGCTTGGTCCTGCCAGTCATTTCTGAGGACTAGACCCAGGCAAAGAGAAAGGAGCTGAAGGGCCATCAGTTGGGATTCTATCTCATCTCTGCCAATGGCCAACAGTGGACCTTAGCAAGTCCCTTTCTCTATTTGGGCCTCAGTTTCCCTGATTGTGAAGTGGGAGACCTGTTCTTCCTGGATCTGTGGTTGCTGTGGGGATCAGATGAACTAACACATGTTAATGTGCTTTGTAAACTGTGGCACTCCAGATAATGCAGGGGGGTGGGGGGAGATTATCTGGTTCAAAGGAGACCTGGAGGCTAGGTCTTACCCCTTAAACCCTAGGAAGCCCCAGTGCTGAACAGGGGTGGAGAGTAGGGGGCTGCAGTCATCCTCCTCTCTGCTAGGCAGGGAAGTCAGGCTTTGAGAAAACAGAAAAGCACTGCTTCTAATGAGATGCCTCATCTGCAGCTCACAGGGTTTCACTTTCCCCTTCATCTTGAATACTTAATCCTAATAGTCCTTGAGTATATTTGATGTTAAATATATCATTTTGCTCAGACTCACCATGCCTCAGGACTGTGAGCTTGATCTCTCCCCGCCACTGCTGCCAGACCCATGCCCTCAGGGTCTGAGGGAGGCTTTGGTACCGCTGCCACTGGCATATTTGGTGCCAACCCCCCACACCCACCAGAACTGGGGGCTAGAAAGTATAACAAGCACAGGGCCTGACAGGCTGGCAAGGGGCAGCTTCTTGCTATAGAAACCTCTGTGCTGCTGGAGGCATTCACTCCATCAGGGCTGCACGCAGCCTTACTCCTGACCTCCAGGGGCAGCTTCTCCTGACTTTCAGGGGCTGGCCCTGACCCACAAACCAGGACTGTCCTAGCTGTGGCCACTCTACCACTCTCTTGTCCATGAGTTTGTCTGAATACCAACTCACCCCAGCCTCCAAGATACCACATGGCTGGCATTTGGCAGCCACATGGCTGGCATCCCTTTGGGGAGTCAGGGCCCTGTGCCCCAAGCTCAGGGACTGAGGCAGGCCTGGGGTGCTGAGCAATGGGCTGCAGAGGCAGGGAGGATATGCCAGCAGGTGGTTCTTTCTGCAGGTGGCTCTTTCTGCACCCCTGGCTGTGAGCATGGTGCTCCCAAACTGATCTGAAGAGGAACCGTCACAGCAAGTCCTGGAGGGTTTGGGTGGCTTGAGCTTCCAGCCAGGAAGGGGCCTGCGGGGTTGACAGAGGCAGACAGGAACCTCACTCATCCCATCCTGTGGCCTCTCTCCCCTCACAGGTAATCCCTGGGCAAGCAACTCTCACCCCCATACTCACCCCACACCCACGCTCACGCTCACCCCCACCCAAGCTGCTTCTAGGTCCAGGGACACGCCCGCAGCACCAGAGTGGAATTCTCAGATCCCCTGGGGCTGGGGGAGGTAGTTTTCACCCAACACATTCCACAGGTGAGGAGCATGTGCTCTCACTTCCACGGGCCAAGACTGCTCCAAAATGCCCTTGAAATGCCTCTGGGGACAGCAGGGAGAGGACAGCTATCAACCCCCAAGGTTACTTTGAGGAGAAAGCCGTGCTACTGGCTGTCTTACAAATATCTGGGCAGGTCCCAGCAACTTGCCCCTGCACCTGGCAGGAAAGTCCTGAGGAAGAGTTCCTGCATTAGGAGTGGGGGTGGGAGATAGTGGGCCTCAGGGCCTCAGGGCCCAGGCAGACTAGATATTCCAGAACTCTTCGGTGGAGACTGTCAGATGTGCCTCAGCCTGAGGGCCTGTTTCCAACACAATGCAGCTGCCTCCAAGATGGAGTTACAAGCTAGCCACACAGGTGATGCTCAGAGAGGTACTTCGGTGACGAGGGCCCCTTCTCTGTGGCCACCACAGTTGACAGGACAGAGTAAACCTGCAGACTTTGCAGTGCAATCAGGATGCCTGCTGGTCAAGTGCAGATGCCCTGCCCTTCCCCCTACTTATACAAAAGCAGCCAGTGCACAGGAATTTGCAACCAGCTGGAGTGAAGAAGTGCACAGTCGGCAGACTTTTCCCCTTCTGGTTTCTGGAGAGCCTGGACAGGCCTTCTTGTAAGCTGCAGTTCTAAATTCTTAGGCCTTCTGGAGGCCTAAGCCAAATCTACACCTTAGCAAAGAAATCTCCCCTACCCCATGATGAAGACCAACCACCCCTGCACCGCAGCCCTGAGAAGGTTGTGGGTGTGCACTGACCAACTGTCCAAGTTTGCCCTGTGATTGAATGCATCCCAGGATGCAGGACGTCCAGTACTAAAATTGAGATAGTTCTGGGCAAACCAGGACAGTTGAACACTATAGTGAGTGGTGGTAGGGTGGATCAAGGGGCTAGCGGGGCCAGAGAGAAAGGCCAGGCAGCCACACCCTTTCCCTGCGGCCCTGCAGTTGCTTCTCAACCCCAAACTTCCCAGCCTCCTGCCCCAGCACTTCATCCTTCAGGCACTAAGGGATTGTCCCGGCCTCCATGGATGGTCTCCGGGTCAGCCAGGGCTGTGAGTTCTTCCAAGAGACTGGCAGTGGAAAGGGTAGGAGTTGGGATGGATGGAAATTTTGTGAGGTCCAAAGCTTACTGCAGTTTGGAGGTGGGGTTCCTCAAGAAAAGGACTAATACCAAATTACCACCAAGGACCTGGCAGCTGAAGGAACTTGAAGGACCCCAAACTTCATTGGCTTCAAGGTAAAACCGCCTCTAGTTGGACCTGATATTTTGGACTAGATGGCCCACCCATCTACACCAGCCAGCGTGGCACCTCCCAACGTGCCAGACCGGGTGAACTGATGGCAGCTCCCTCCCCAGCCCTGCCAGGGGCGGAAGCACTGTCACCCATCCCGCAGCTACGGAGTGCCAGACCTCAGGGACCCAGGACCGTGCTGGCTTGACCGCACCCTCACCCCTGCACCTGCAGGACCTGTGGGCACCCACGCCCCCGGGCGGGCATCCATTCCGCAGTAGGGTGCGGAAGGGGAACGTGCGGACACCCAGAGGGCCTTGGAGACTGGCTGGCAGTGGGGACTGTCGGGAAGCCCGCGGCGGGGGTCTCAGTTGCGCTCCCGAAGCCCGCCAGGCGGCAAGAGCTCGTGAGAAAGTTCCCCGGCTGCAGCGCGCGGGGCTGGCGGGCTCGTGGGAGGCCGGGAGACTTCCTAATCCAGCCGACAAAGCCCGGGCGCTGAGCCGGGCACCGCAGACCCCGGCACCGCGCGCGCATCCAGCCGCCGCTCTTCCGGGAAGCCGCCAACCAGCCCGAGGCGGCCCGCGGGTGCTGGGGGCGCCGCCGCCGCTAGCGGGGTGGCCTCCGCGGGGCCCACGCCGCCGTCCCCTCCCCGCGCCCGGCGCGCCCCAGGTCACCTACCGTCCTCCTGGTCCAACACCATGGTCCTGGCGGCTCCTGCCGGACACGCGCGGAGGACACGGAGGGGCGCACGGCTCGGACCCCCGCCTCCGGCCGCAGAGCCGCGGCTGCCGACCGGGGCAGACGGAACCGCGTCCGGAGCGCAGCCGGGCGGGCAGGGAGCGCAGGAAGGAGGAGGGACTGGGGGCGGGCGCGGGGGCGAGACGGCCGGGCCCGGATCGCTGGAGCCGCGCGAGCAGCCGCTGCCCGGGCCGGGCCGGAGCCGGAGCCGGAGCCGCGCGCTTTTCCTCCCTCCGTGCCTGCCGCGCTCGCCTCAGCAGAGTAAAGGCTGCATTTCCCAGGGCCCCTCAGATTCCCCTGTTAATTAAATCAATTCATTATGCTCAGATCTGATTAGCGGCCCTTCCCCCCCTTTGAATCAATTATTCAATACACAAACATAATTGCTTGGGCCAGAGGTGCCCGCCATTAGCTTATTTAACTCCAAGGACACTAATTACCCGCAGGGCACGGGAACTTTTCTCATTAATTCTGACTAAACACAAAAGCACAGCCAGAGTGTGTGCGTGTGAGGGGCTGTGTGCGTGTGAGGGGCTGTGTGTGTGTGTGTGTGTGTGTGTCCGCATGCCAGAGTGAGGGCTGTGTGGGGTGGTGAGCCACTGTGTGAGCGCAAGACCAGACTGGGGTGGGGGTGGGACGCGTGCGATGGCGGGTGAGTGTGTGCGGGTGTGGGTGTGGGCTCTGTGCCTGTGATTCTGAATGAGTGCGTCGGGCTAGGCGTGACTCTGGATCTGGGGACTGTGGGCCGCGACTGGGACCCGGCACAGGAATGTGTATGAGATCGCGAGAGTGCTTCTGTGTGTGACTGTGTGAATGTGACTCCGTGGCTACCGTGGCAGGCGCCCCATCTCCTTTCTTTTTTCATTATTGCCCCGCTATCCCCCGCGGCATGCTCATCCCCCTGGGAGAAAGTGCAGATCACAGAGGAAGAATCCGAGAGGATCAGGAGGCGGTGGGTGACTCTGGAGCCAGGCCGGGCCACATTGTCCTCCTCCCCGCCACCTGTTTGGGCCTTGGCTGGGCTTTGCTCTCCCTCAGCTCCGCCCCCAGTTATAAACCCCAGGTTCCTATCTTCCCCTCCCCCGGCCCCCACCCCCGCACTTTGCCCTCTTTCTGCCTCTCTCAATATCGCCCCCACTCTCAACTTTTATCCCAAAGCCCTCCCCCACCCCACCCTTCACATTCGCCTGACAGTCCACGAACCCCCAACTCCACCCACCTCGTTCTTCACCTCCTGTCTCAAGGCTGTACCGAGGGTGTGCCTATGGTTGACCAACTTCTCCACATTTTACCTCCCAGGAAATCTCTATTGAGAGAGCCAGTGAGAGAGCCCACAGAGGCAGGGACACAGAGGGTAATTGATTCCCCCAAATTAGGTTTCTGCTTTCTAAAGACTGGCATTGTTCCTTTTCTCAATGTGCACAGAGGTATTGAAGATTTCCTTTTTGTTTCCTCTGGCAATGAATGAGCTTAATCCATTTGGCTTTATAAATCAGGAAACTAATATTCGCTCCTTCCACAGCAGCTTTTAAAAAATTTTAATTGGTAAGGGAGGCGCAGTTAGTCACCCTTATACTGTCCCCAGGCCCCCACTTATCAAAACATATTCTGATTGAGGGGTGGAGAGAAGGGAGGGGGCTCATCCTGATTCCTCCCTCTCTCTTTCATCCTCCCAAACGGATCCACATAGTGTCTGGGAAAGTTTCTGAGATGATTGCATGAATTGTATTCAATTTGGTGAAGAAAAGGAGGAGTGCTCAGAGAGACTCTTCAGAATGATCTCCCAAATCAGCTGCTCTCAATTCCCCAGGAGTGACTGCCTAGATGGGTGCTGGCTATTCCATGTACTAAGATCAAAGGGCAAGTAGGGCCTGAAATTCTGTCCCCCTCCACCCTCCAAGCCATGTACCTGGCACAGACTGCACCCACCCAGAGAGGGCGCCTTTTGCTACTTTGCACAGAGGCGCCATCCAGACTAGCAGGGCTCTGCAATTGGGTATCTCTGCTTGGCCAGAGTTCACACTCAGAGAAGCCAGCCTGAGGCGTAGGCACCCAGACTCCCTGTTCCCACCATTACTTGCAGCAAGGGCCTGTGTGAGCTCTTAAAAGATCAGCCTCCTGGTTTTCATAGAGAGAAAGAGAAAGTTCAGAGAGTGTAAACATCATGGGGTAATCAGGGATAATGAAGCAGTTGCCCCGCCGTATCTCTGCATTTATATGGGGCTCCAGCTCCTGTTGAAAGACACTGAACTCAGTCCACAGGTGGGATTGAGACAGGGACAGATCTATCATGAGGACTAATGTCTTCAACGGGGGCCATCTTGGGGAGAGACAATGAGAAGAGATCCTCGTGGGTGGACTAGACTGAGCAGCAGGGCCAGGAGTTCAGAGAAACAACAATTTCAAGTATGGTGCAAGGTGGGGCCTCACCTGCTCCGATCAGCACTCTGAGAAGAAGGGGGCAGTGGTACAAATGAGGAACAGGGTCACTAGGAGCCCTGCAGCTTGGCTCTGGGAGCCCCCTCTGAAACAGCTGGTCATTAGAAGCTGAGGTGTCACCTTGCTGGGCCAAGAGGAAAAGAGCAGCTGGGACAGCAACTTGGTGGCATTAACAGCAGCTCAGGCAAGATGGCAAGAGCATCAGGCAGCAGCTCTAATTATACAGACGGTGTCCCTTCTCGTAATCCATCAACCCCCGTCTCCCAACCCTGGGATTGCTAGGAGGAAAATGACTATCTAGAACTCAAAATCTAATGGTGTCCAGAGGGCACATGGGTCACAAGGGTAAGCATTCCTAGAAGGTCTCACAACTATTTGGAGAGGAGGATCCTGGAGAGGATAATTGGAGCAACAGAATTTGGGGCTCATTTATTGTAAAATTATGGGATCTGGGTACTCAGCATTTTTATGCCTTTATGTTCCAACCTGTCTTAGCTGCGTGACTGGCTTAAAGGGAAAGGCTGTGAGAGCAAGAATGGACCAGAACAATAATAGGGGAGCAGTCTCTGGTGCAACCACCAGCTTTTCCTAATGGCAGTGGAGGTCGGTATATCAGTATGTTACACTAAACATGAAGAGAGTGAATTTCCCTATCAAAAAACAGATTGTCTGAGTAAGTTAAAAATAAAATACAGCCAAATGCTGTTTACAAGAAATACTCCCCAAACAAGGTGACAAAGAGACTGAAAATAAAGCAATGGGCAAAGATATACCAAGAAAATGCAAGCAGAGAGGGAGTAGAAACAGCAATATTAATGTCAAACAAAGCCAACTTCAAAGCTAAAAGCATAAACTGCTTGAAAATCAAGAAACACCCTATTAAATTAGCACTGGATCCAAATAAGATCAAAACTGAAATTACCAATCTGGGAATGAAAATAGAGAACACAGCATATCATACAGAATTTATGGAACACGCTGTCCTCAGAGGAAGAAATACAGCCTTAGGTGCTAGAAATATTAAAAAAAAAAAAAGACTGGAGGCAAATGAACTAGGTATTCAATCTAAGAAATTAGAAAAGAACATACTGAACCAAAAAAAAAGTAGAAGAAAATTAATGAAGTCAGAAAATAATGAAATAGAAAATAAACAAGTAATAGAAAAGGTAAATAAAAGGAAAAATTAGAACCAACACTTGTTTTTTGAAAAGGCCAACAAAACGTGGGGAGAAAAATTTCCAGAAAGACCTAGTTAAGAAAATAAAGGAAGCACAAATATATAATATTAGGTATAAAAAAAGAGATATATCATAGGTACAGAAAAGGTTAAAGAATTATAATAATAATAATATGAGTAAGCCTATGAAAATAAATGTGAAAACCTAGAGGAAATGGATGACTTCAAGCAAAGTAGAAAATTATCAGAACTGAGCATAGAAGACGTTGAAATCCCGAATAGGCCAATAAACAGAAGACATTTAAAAAGCTATTAAAACTATGCCATTAAAATATCACAAGGCACCATATGCTCCAACAATTCTACTTCTGGAAATATACCCAAAAGAATTGAAAGCAGGTTCTCAAAGAGATATTCGTACATCCATGTCCACAGCAGCGTTATTCACAATAACCAAAAGGTGGAAGCAACCCATGTCCACCAACAGACAGATAAACAAAATGGGACACACACATACAGAAGAATAGTATTAAGCCTTTCAAAGGAAGGAACTTCTACACATGCTACAACATGGATGAACCTTGAGGACATTATACCAAGTGAAATAAGCCAGTCACAAAAAGACAAATATTGTTTGACTTCATTTATATGAGGTGCCTAGAGTAGTCAAATTTGTAGAGACAAAAAGTAGAATGGTGGTTGGCAGAGGTTCAGGGGAGGGCAGAATGGGGAATTTAATGGGTATAGCATTTTCAGATTCACAAGATGAAGCATTCTGGAGATTGGTTACCCAACAATGTGAATGTGCTTAACACTGTTAAACTGTGCACTTAAAAATGGTTAGAATGGTGCATTTTATGTTATGTGTATTTTATCACAATTAAAATAAAACCCCACAAGGCACAGATTACATTAAAATGAGTTTTATATAACCTGAAAAACAGATGATTTTAATGTTTTTTAAACTATTCCAGACAAGAGAAAAATTTGGAAAGCTTCCTAGTTTGTTTTATGAGCCAGCATTTTCTTATTCCCAAACCTTATAAAGATTGAATTTTAAAAGAAAGAAAAGAAAAAAAATTCACAGAACAGCTTGCATATGAGTGCAAAATCTGAAATAAGATATTAGCTATTTTGACATGAAAAAAGGTATCAAAAGAATAATACACCATGACAAAGGAGGATTTATTTTAACACCACAAACATGATTCAGCATCAGAAACTCTATTAGTATACATCAACAAATAAAGGAACAAAATATGATTATAGTAATATATGTCCAAAATTATTTGATAAAATTTAGCACATATTACTAATAAAATGTTAAGAAAAACAGAAATAGAAGAAAACTACTTCAGTTTGTTAAGACTGTTTACCAAAACCCAACAGAAAATAAATAAATGTGACGTTCTGAAACTGTTTCCACAAATGGGAAATAAGAAGGTCCATTATCATCATTATTATTCAACATTTTTTGAGACTTTAACTCAATAAGGCAAGAAAAGAAACTGCTTAAACAGCTGTTTTTAAAAAGGACAAAAATATATTTATTTACAAATTATGTGATATGTAACCTAAAATCCAATAAAATTTACTTTGAAAGTTACTAGAATTATTAGATAATTGAGAAGGTAGCTAAATACAAGATAAATAGATGGAAAGCTGTAGTTTTTTTCTAAATAAAAGGATGTATTAGAAATGGC